TTGTGTCTTGTTTTTTGACATGAATCACTGATATGCTTTGAAAAGTCCCCTATTTATGTCAACCTCCATTTATCCAAATACATTCCAGATTGTAACCTCTTCAGGACAAGGACTGCTGATTTCTTTGTGTTTGTACAGCACCTAGCACAACAAGGCCTTAGTTATCTAGATCCTCTGGGAATGACGGTAACACAATTATAGTGGGCTAAATTTTACCCAGCCCTGAGAGAGATCACCAATGAGGCAGTGGAGGTAAGGGGGGAATGGAAGGTGTAGGACCACAACCCCAAACATATTCACAAACAATCCTGTGCAGGAATATTGTGCAATCCTATTAGGAAATGGAGGCACTTCAGGCTAGTCACACTGCCCATGCTAGCTCCCTGAAAGGGAGGGGTGGGAAGAGGGCAGGACCAATAACTCCAACTACACCACACCAATCAGTGGAAGCACATGTTGCACTAAATCAGTGGATAGCTAAACTGCTGTTGATGTGTGTGCTATTCTAGAGTCCCAGGAGAAATTCTGTTTGAGTCAGTCAGAAGTGTAACCCATAGCATCCCACCCCAAGATGGTGCAAGTGGCCTAAAAGCCAGAATCTCCTCTTCCACCCCTTTTCTCTTCAGATAAACACAGTTTTGGCCATCTCTTGGGATTTTATTGGAAATCTCACAATATTTGATGCTGTTCTTAAAGGGCCAGCTGCTGGAGATAAGTAAATGCCAGGGAATCTCAGTTTTTATTTTAAAAAGTCTCTAGTCTTCCTAGTTGCAGAAAAAAACTTGGAAATGTGACCAAGTCACAAACTAGCAGACAAAGGAGCCACAAGGTATTTATGTTTTTTTTTTTTTTTTAATCTCCTGCTTTTTAAGTCAATCTCATTTTTGGATACCTTACCCATAATTTTTGAACAATTGGGGTTAGCAATTTGTTGCCATTTTACTTTACCTAACTTAAGCCCTCTATCCTATCCTGCCTTACCCATCTGACTGTAAAATTATAGCTGTTGCTCTACAACTACATCAGCCATACGAAGAAGAAGATCCATCTGTCTCACACTAGTCACTACTATATATAGATGCAAAGGAGAATTAATAGTAGATAAACAGTATTTCTGGTGGTGAAACCGCATCCAATCCCCACGCTGATTAACACACACACAGTTTCTGGCCCAGATGTGTTACTAGATTAATTTTCTCTTTGTGGAGGGCAGCCGATCTCAGAAGAGTAGGACAATATACAGCATCCCATGAAGTGAGTTCGGGGATAACTCATGCAGGTTTCAGGTATGTGTGTGAGTGTATGACTTTGTATTAAACATAGATAAATAACTTTTTTTTTTATTTGTGGAAGTTAGGAAGAAAATATACAGAAGCAGCTCGTTCCCCATGAATGAAATGTTGAAAAATACTAAAATAGAGCTCTCCAGAAAAGGCAGGGGAGAAAGTCACTGGACTTCAGTGTAATAGATGGAACCATGTCTCTATTAAAACCAAGATATCAAGGTCAAAATGTTTCTACCAAATAAAATTCTAGCTAATATTCTGTTTGTTTTGTATTGCGCAAACATTCTATTCATTTACAGATTTAGTTTAATAACTGTGGGTGTTAAAAGAACTAGAGACTGAACAAGAAAGATTCAAAATCTGAGAAATGTGACAAGCCATTTAAAAAGAAAAATATATACGGTATAAATAGATGGCAATTAAATATTCACTGGTGGGTTTTCTTGCTTAATATGCAATCTTTTTTGACATTTAAATCACAGCTTTTTAAAAAAATCTCACTAATGCAAAAACACTGGCAACATAAAGAGTCAAGAGATTAAGGCTTTTTGCTTTAACTTTAATTACTTTGTCATAATTTCAGTTAAGGGCAAGGCACTTTAATAGGTTATTACATTTCTCCTCCCAAGTGTTTCAAAAGTCAAGTACAGTTTCCTCGGACTACATATGTAGTGTATGAAATATTTAGATGAAAAGTTATAGCAGAATAGGATGCAGAGAATTTATTATAGCTGGTATGTAGGCACTTTAAGAAGATGGCAGTATTGCTCACATAAAATGTTGTCAATAGAAGATTTTTTTTGTAAGAAACCAATTGCAATCTAAGTGTCAGTGCTGTGTTTGCCTGATAAATTACATGCAGCCTCAAAAACTCCAAAATAAACTTGTATGTAGTTTTGGAAGAAAGATGAGTTCAAAAAAGACATTGATAATGAAGAAAAACAAAAACAATTACTGTGTGATACATTGTTGCTGTGTGTATGTGCAACTTTCACACACATGATTAATGTTAATAACACTTTTATTGCACCAGTTTTTTCAGTATTTAAGTAAAATTCAACTGCTTGAAATTTCAGTATTCTGGCCCATAATGGATAATATCTGGGGACCTTATAGTAGGGCCGTTGTAAACATTAATGGTGAATGCACCCCTGACCAACACCTGCACAAGTCCTATGCACCACTGAAGTGCTATTTTGTGGGCTCAAGTGGAACTGAAGCAGCCACTAGGTCTTGAGCTGATCCTCTGCACGGGGGTGAATTTCACCCCCAAATTGTTTTGCATTTATTTTCCTGAAGCTGTAGAACACATATATGAAATATAATAATAACAGAGTAAACATATTAAGAAAGATTAGGTGAGGTGTCACTTGCTCAGCAATTAGAGTTGGACTGCTCTGAATATTAAAAATGTGGATGTGTGTGCTGTGAATACTAGACATCAAATGTAAATCAAATCACACTGTTTCCATTGCATCTTGAGATGCCTTGCTATGAAATTAAAATCACTATAATTATGAAAAAAAGATTAAAGGGCTCGATCTGAAGCCCCGTGAAATCAATGGAAGTATTTCCATTAATTATATTGGGTTTTGGATCAGGCTCTAAACAAAACCTTCTTGAACAGTAATCTTCTGCAAAATCAGCCGCCGCCTCCCCCCCCCCTCCCCCTTATCCTTTATCAACAAGATGACTTCAGAACAGTTCTGGCTAGGACATCATTAGGACTGGCATAAAACCTATAGAGAAAAACAGAAAGGCATTAGCATATCAACATGTCTTTATCTAAAAAGTATCCTTCAGAGCTTGCCAATGTTCTTAATAATAAACTCACACACAAAGATAGTGCTGCACGTGCACAACCTGGCACTGTTGATTTACCCTATCCATACAACTTCATCTCACTGACTTTCTCTTGTGTTTTCCTGGGGATTTTGTCCTTTTCAGAAAATGGACAATGTCCTTATTGAATATCTTGAATCCACAAGTCTATTTGATAGTCACTGCGGGTTTTATGCACAACAATCTTTGTTAAGGAGAACACTGATCTTTACATAAACAAAGTGACCTTTCCTCTCCCTAGCATTGGGGGGGGGGGCGGGGGGCGGAGGGAAAGCAAGGGGAAAGGAAGGAGGGGCGAGTCCTGTACTACTTTGACACTCGGGAATCACTGATGCTCTTATAAAAAGACTGATGGAAATGGAATATAAAAAAGGTGTTGACCAGTTTACACACACACATCACAGTCGAGTACATATAAATGACTGTGAGAAAGCCAAACTGAGGGGTCAATGAAATCATCAGAAAAAAAAAATTCTTACTGAAAAGCCGACATCGTCTAATACATACAATACAGCATACTGCCTTGTATACAGCGTAATCCCTACAATACAACAAAGTGCAATGTGTATGCGGGTTAACATATACAGTCATGTTGCGTATTGATGGGGCTCACTGATCACTGGAAGCATGGTAGAACATGGCCAAGCTATGTTACGCTTGTAAAAATTCAAAGATTGCACAGTTTCTTGCTGGCTCTGCAGGCTATTCATGTCGACATATTAAGGCAGGCAATCAGGAATTAGCTTTCATTTAATTAATGTCAAATTGTCAACTTCAATATATGTCTATATACTGAGAGGGACAGTGAGGATATGGAGAAGGGGGAGCCCTGTGATTGCTTGCCCCCGCCCCACACACACACCTTGAAATTCATTACACACTCAAGAGCCACTGTTATAGAAAAGAGAAAAGGAAATTTTCCACTAACCCAGGTCGTGATTTACATGCAGAGAGCAAGGAATGAATAGCGGCGAGAAGCGGTGCGCGTCTTTAGCCACAGCAGCAAATAAGATTACTTACTTACCAGGGACGCTTTGCACCGGGGGCAATGTTTATTCCCTCGATCACCCACCTCAAGTCTCTCCAGGAAATCAATCTCCTGCATTGCCCCCTCCCTCTCGCCCAAGGAGAGAGAACAAGATAGAGAGCGAGAGGGGAAAGATAGGAGAGAGGGCAAACGGCTACCTGGGAGCTCATTGTCTAATGTCCCTGTGGGTGGATAAACCTGGAAGCACAAAACCAGGCACCTGGGATCAGCAGACGCTCAGCTGGGAAGAGAGGCTGCTCCTTGAGGAGGAGGAGGAGGACCCTTAGGGAAGAAGCCTGACTTAGAACAAGAGGGTCTCAGCTAAAAGGCTTGGTTAAAAAGTAGCCGTAGGGAATGGGGGGGGGGGTAATCTTACCCGATCCATACTGTAGCTATCGTTTGTTCAACTGCAGCCTGCGCGGCACGAGGATACAGGAACGGCACAGTCACGCCGGGGACAGCCGCAGCAGGGCCATTTCCCACCGCCTTTGCCGAACGCGAAAACCAAACACAGAACATAGCCCCCCGCCCCCGTCTACTCCCAGCCCCCCCGGCCCGGGGACCCGGCGGAATCAAGCCCATCGCCTTGCGCGGGGGATTCACACTCTCACTGGGGGAGCTGGAGCCGCTGCTGGGGCGCCTAGTCACTTTCCCTTTCTCCAAAAGCGCCGCGCTCCCCGCGCAGCTGCTTTCTGCTCCGTCTTCCCTGTAGCATCTTCTACGCTACGCTTGTTCCTCGAGCAAATCACGGTAGATTGAGTCAATGGTTTGGTGTGGTTAGTTCCCTCTGCGCGCTTACACACACACACACACACACACACACACACACACACCCATGGTGTTTGCTCGCGGGGGTTCAGAGGAAAGCCAAGGGAAAGGCACTGACTTACCATTCAAGTCCTAATAATCATGAACCACAGCCCAGGGTATCTCTAGAGAAGTACAGAGCAGTGCAGTATCTCCGAGGTTGCCCCCTCTTGAATTCTCATTGGATCCTCCCCAGCTCCCTAAATCATCCCCGCTGCTATATCTATCAGGATGACTACAGCCACGCTCACCAGTATCTCATTGTCTCCACCACATCCCTGTACTTCTCTGTGCAGATTTCTCTGTGCTCCTTCCTCTCGAGCTGGGTTGGCAGAGCCACTCGCCTTTTTTAACCTCTAGGAAGTCTCACGGTTTATTATTATTATTTCTCTCTTTTGCCTGAGGATCGTCACAGAGCCCACTCCCCTCCCCACACCTTGTCTTCACATATTTGTTTCTTTTTTCTGTTTGTTTCTTTGGGGGCTTGGGTGCTCTCTTTCAATCACTTCTATCCTTCCCCACCCCCCACCCCCTCACACCCACACACACACACACAAAGTGGGTTCTTTTCCTTGGTGCTGTGCCACCAGGAACTGCTGATTATTTCTAAAGGGCCACCACCATGCAGCTCACTTTTTTAGCTTGAAACTGAAGAGCATGGACTGTCTGCTTGGATTCTGGCTACGTTTCGCCCACAATCATCTCGCTTCCTGAAATTTCATCTGGTGAGTAAGTTTATTTCCCGCGCATGCCGTTTTTAACAAATTTGACACTAATCTGGAGTAATGTTTAGGTCTCGCCATGCTAATGCTCTATCCCTTTACTTTCCGAAGTCGAAGAATTACCAAGCATCAGCCCTACTTGACCACATCCATTAATGTTACTCACAGCCAGAGGCAGTAAGTTATAACCTGCACCACGATTACACTACATTCCGCTGCTTATTCATCATATTTTATTAATGTTTGATCAGACAATGTACCTGCTACCTACATCCCTTGCTTCCTTAACCCGTTCCTCAACCCCACACATATACACCGGCCCTCGTATGTATTTTGAAAGGACGCATTATTTCTATTCAATATAGGAGAATGGGTCCCATGAGAATAGTTGGGGGGTTGAAGGGAGCTGTGTCTGAGAAAGTTCATTCCTTTTGCTGATCCCCACAGAAGAAGGTTGTTCAGGTTGGTTAGGCTTTTGCCTTATTTTCAGTCAATTCAATCAAAGAGAAAGGGAAGGGAGAGATTCTCAGACCTGATCAAGTATACTCGTTGGAGCTGCACGGAAGGTCTTGAAGTTGAAGGTGATGTCTGGAATTTGGGTTTACGGAAAGGAGGCGTAGTTTGAGCATGCTGTGGACACCTCTCTTTCCCTTCATGACAGAGGAAGGGAATCCTGTGGAATTATAACAATCCTGGCATAATTCGAATCCTGGCATAAAGCGAATTTGCTCTCATCTCCTTCCTGCACATCCATTTCTGATCGCACCTTCTGATTCCACCCCTGCGCCCCCATACCTGTATTTTACTACAGTGCAGACAGCAGCTCAGGAGCCTGCTGTGTTCTCAATAAAACGCACGCACATTGACATGGAGCCCATCTTTTGATCAAATGAGGACTTTTGGTTTCCTTGAAAAAAACCGCAATTAGTATAGAAATAAAAAATGCCGGGTGTCTTCATGGAGCCATTTAGAGCAACGTCTTTTAACGTTCATATTTCTTTAATTAGAGCTCTTTCCACATTCAATAGTAGAAGATGGGGAGGGAAATACCTTCAACAGTGAGTTATTGGTTCAGTTCCAATACTGTCGAGGTGATTTGGCTTGAGCTGGGTATGGTAAGTAATATGATCATGTCTATCACATTACATACATGGATCACGGAAGGAACTCGGTTTGTGGTCTTAATAGGCAGATGGGCCAGTGAGAGAGAATGAGGATTTGATTGACTGTATTGGCTGGTGGATGGGAGAGGAGAGAAAAAGATCAGTATTCTCTCAGTACCTGCTCCTGTCCCCGAGAGTCCCCCTTCCTTCTCCTTCAAGTGCTGGATTATCTGGGGAGGGAGGAGTTAAAAAGCCCTTCAGCCCTGGGATCCAGTTGAGAAAGTCCATTTCCCTTTCAACTCCTTTCCTCGGAGCTGAGCATGGAACCCCTACGCCTGGTCACCTTGCTATAGCTGTGTGTGACTTTCCGCTTCAGTCTTCCCTCCAGGGGAACCTATCGGGAGCACCATTATTGACCGTTCTCCTTCACCCATTCAGCCAGGGTTTGTGTAATTAATCAAATCCAATAGGGGCTAGTGAATTGCGCTTCCTCTGCTGCTGCTGGGAAGGATCCTCCACTACCAAACGGGTCAGGGGAAAGAAACTTTCAGTGCAGTCAGATCCTTTTCCCCACCCCAGATGTAGCCGAATGTCTAGGTAAGTGCATGTCAGAGGCTCTGCCTAATTGTTGTTCTTAATTGTATTATTATTCTTAATTACAAAAACCCGAACAGTAAGGTGCACATTGAGGAGAGGGGATTTCATCTGTGCATCATCTACAAGCTGTTAAATGTTTGTACTCTGGAAAGGCGATTTATATTGCTATTTCCCAGGTTGAATGGCACCTTCTATGCCCTCGGAGGGGGTTGGGCACTGGTTAAGGTATAGCATTAGGGAAGCTGACTTGGTTAGATCACGTTCAGTTGATGGATGGTGTGAATGCATCGGAAATAAGAACTGACATAGGTTGGCCCGTGTGGCTTTTCGTACTTTACTGGAGGAATAAAAAGATCCTTTGCATACAAACACCAAATAAATCAATGCAATTAATGTAATCTAAATGGGCATTTGCAGCCAGCAAGCATGAGGCATACTTAATAGAGAAGATTCCCATTAGCCTTAATGTTTCATTTCCAGCGTTCAACAGTTCTAACCAGAGGAAACCCGCTGCTCACCACACCGTCAGGATAGATGACTCAGAAAATCTGTATCCTCATTCAACAGCCTGAAACTCCCTCCCCCGTCTGGTTTTGTTTTAAAGTCGTGGTAGTGCGTAAATAAAATTAACTCCCTTAGGGGGAGAGACCTGCAATATCCAGCGTGGTTTCCTTTAAGTTTGTATAATAGCCTTCCTAAATTGCCTTCACTGACAAAGATCACCAGCACCATCATCAATCATCATCATCATTATCTCCCCCCCAGTAGCTTCATGGATCCTGTTCCAAATCTTAAAATGATTTTGAATCTTTCCATTGTGAGTGATAGAAACTAAGGTAGAGGGGTCTTTAGGGGGAGTTAGTTGCCTGTCTCCTTTATAACGCACTTCACAAGCAAGTAGGTCTGGTCATTAGTCTGCTGTTTGAATTCGACTCAACTCTTGAAAGTTTCGCTTTTCTTTTGGGCGGTGGCAGTTGGGGGAGGAGGAAAGGGCTGAGCCCTGGTAGTGTCTGTCCTTCACCGGCAGAGGGCGGGGTTCCCAGAGTGCAGTGAGTGAGTTACTTTTGCAGCCAGGCGGTGGCAGACTCTTGTAGTCTCTGGCAGCTGGAGTTCTCTTTCTCGGAGTCTCTCACCTTAGAGGTCACTTTGCTTTGCATCAGATTGAGGAGCACAAAGTGACCTGCCCCTGCACCATCTCGCATCCCCCACCCCAACAAAAAGCCTGTCTGAGAATTATCCAGGGGATTTGTTGCCTGCTATCTCCCCCCAGAAGATGAGATGCATGCATTTGTGTAAGCTTGCCAAATCTATGTGCACCCGGGGTGACCAGAAAGAGTTAATAAAGAGTGCAGGCTGCTCCCAGCATGAATCCTATGTGTACCTCATAGCTATGCTAGCCAATCATAGGCAACAGAGGTATGAACTATAGGATGGTGTAAAAGCCAAGGTAAAGAAATTTGGGTGTAAATTGTCACAGCATATTGGAGTACAGGAGTCTGGGCTGTCTTGGCTACTGCTGTCTGTGCACTTACAGACCATCATGCATTTTAGCAGGTAAGGGTTTTGTTACCAGCAATCTATACCGTGTCTTATTTCTGCATTCATGTGCATTTTCTGTGTACATTTCATTAAGTGTTTAATTGCATCCTGCCCTGAATTACTCTTTCACAAACTATTCCATACCATTTCGTTTTGGTTGATTGCACCATAGAATTGTTACTTTTCTGAAAGGGGGACTGGGGAAAACTGTAACATGATATCATTTAGTGTGGGTGAGGCGTTTCTTAAGGCTGTTTTAGTTTTAAATGTTAATGATTTCCTTTAGAGAAGAAGTAAGCATATTGAAAGTGTATTTGTGCACTACAGTAATTCATGACTGGCATAAAAATATAATGCATGTGCTGAGTGAAAAATGTTCTGTGTATAATATTGATATCTGCCACAGATCCCCACCAATAAAGGCCACTTTGAGACAGACTTATAATAAAACAAACCTTTTGTGCACTTTCAGTTAATTAGGGACACAGCTGTTTAGCTGGCTCACAAGTCTGAGAGAAGAAACCATAATATATTATTTGCTAGAAACTGTCATGTCTAACTCTTCTTTTAAATGTCACACAAGAGAAGGGTTTTTTTAAACAAACAAAATATCTGTTTTTTTAAAAAGAGTGTAACTGGCACACTAAGCATATGTGGATAAATGCACATTGACAGTATAAAGAGTAACTTCAGCATCACAGGCTGTATAGATATTGGAGTTTAGGTAGTGCTGTCAATGCTCAAACTTCGAAGTGTAGCACACTCCTATTATTAAAAAGAATTAGATCTGGTAGCATAGCTGTATGGTATGATATGAAGAGACCTTGCTTTGAAAATAGAAATGTTTAAATTGTAGTGGAGGAAGCAGTCGTCAGACTCTGTTGCATTGCTCTCTGTTTCAGAGATATCACAATTTCATGTACAGACGAGATGAAAAAAATCTTGCCCTGAATAATTTTCTCTTTAAATCTTGTATATAAGTTTAGGGGGAAAATATTCGATGTTATTTCCTGTAGCCCTACAACCACCTGCATTGAGAAGAGGTAAACCCTACAACATAAATTTATCAATACAGTTTCTGCATTTGGAGTGTTCACTCATGAAATGTTGAAGGATTGAGAATGAACATGTTAACTAGCAAACATGCAAACCAGCAGCTGAACATTTTACAGATCTCACGGCAAAAGTCAGCATTTGTACAACTAACAAACAATCGCAACAACTTGAGAATCTTTGAGCAATATAATCACTGTCTATTCCTCCCTTATTCTTTCTATTACTGAGTGTCTGAGTTCTATTGTGAAGAATTAATTACACTAGTTCACTAGTTGTTCATGCCAACCTGTGTTTGAGAAGTTTTTTGTTTCTAATTTATATAAATGGTAGTGACTTTCCACTGCTCTCAAAATACGGGAGATACATGTTGACTTAAGGGACTAAAATAGTTGATTTTATTTGGATTAGTTTGAAATCAGGTTTTCCTATTTGACTTTGATCAATCTAGAAAACATCTAATTTTTTAAATTCAATGGAAAGAAGTAATGTCCATCTAAAAGTGATACAAGCTTGTTTTCCTTCACCAGTAGCTTTCGCAAATCTAAATGGAAAATTGGGAGAAGATCAAGAATACTATCAATTTATCAGAAATATTTTAGTTTTCATTTAGCATACAAAAAGGTGGGAATTTCTAAATTGTAGTTTCTGGAAATATTCAATATTTATCAACTGTCATATGTAACCTGTGAACCCCTCTTTCTATTCCCC